GTTTGAGCGTAACACCGAAGCACAGCGATAAGCGGAGCGATGCGATGTTTACGCCACGACGTCTAGAGCGAGACTGAATTGCAGTTCTAATAAATGTATGTATTGGCGAAAAATATCTCATTTCTGTGTAATAGTTCTAGGCAAAATAAAAATTTCACAATGAAAAATGATAATAACATTTTGTACTCATATGTTCTTGTTTGGTTGGATTTTACATTTTAAGTTGGGCTTTCGGTTTTTTGTCTTTCTTTTTTTATTATCCACAAATTTTGTATCATGAATTTTGTTTGCTTTAATACTTCAATATTCCTAACTAACGGGTTAACTAACCGTGTTAGATATAACATTGGGTATTGTGAAACATTGTATCTGCAATATAAAACATTGGAATACAATTATTAATTTTATGAAATTATTATATTATTAAAAAAATGATGTTATCAGGTGAATTTAGTGAAATCATCACGCTCTATCACTCCATTCAAAGTTGTTACACAGCAGCTTACTAAAAGAAATGTATCAACTGCGTTTGAAATAAAAATAACTTTACGAACTTCCCTTAAGGAAGGAGAGTAGGAACATTTTACGTTCTAAAGATGGGAAGACATTATTCTGATTACCAAAAAATTGAGATAAATAATGTTGAATACTGTCAATATGTATCCAAAAACAATTAGAAGAAAATGAGACATTGACCTATTAAGCATGTTACATTACTTCCTCGAAATACACATCAAGTGTTTTACAAGGACATTTGTGGTTGAGTCTTTCGAAAGGTTCAAGAGACCCTCATGTTTGTCTGATATTTGCACCATTGTTTCAACTTCATTTTCATATTTTCGTAAGAAAAACAATGTATATAATAATGAACTTCAGTTCTTTCTAAATTTTTAGTTATTATCTGCCATATGCCTACAATTGTTTCTATTAGGTTTCTAAATAAAACCCCCAGGTTCCGTGGTTCTATAGTTAAAAAATTATCAAGTATGGATTGTATCAAACAATTCTATATACCATATTTCCCAATATCTCGAAATATTAATGTTGGTATTATCCCTTTTTGGTGTTATGACCCTGTATTCCAATAGGTAAAGAAGTAACATACTACCAGATAATATTCCACATTCTGAGAAATTTTAGAGAAAAGTACTTAAACCGAATATAAGCGGCTTCTAAATTATTTGTGAAATTCTGTGAGCATTGTGACAGGCACCAATTAAAACTACCTACATCAGTCGAAATAAAACGTTGCACGTGAGTAAGGCTGTTCTGTAGAAACTACCAAATTATCCATTGTAGAAGCCATTGTAAAATCGGATATAATATCGTTAAAATCCTCCAGTTTTACTCAGTTGTCTTTATATACATACCCTTTTTGAATTGTGCAAAGAGCGTCATTTAAAAACGTGTAATTTTTTATTGAACCGTTCGCATGAAAACAAGACAAAAGATATTGCTGGTTTCCTTCACAAAGAGAATTTCTCGAAAAAAGGAAAGTCAGTCATTGAAGTTTCTCGTTTGGGCATCGTCAATTGACTTATCAGACGCTTTTTTCTGAGAAGGAAATACGTGCCCTTCATTCAACCTTTTACGGTACATGCGCAAAGGAAGCGCATAGAGTGAAAACAGAAGAACAGTCACGGAATAAAGCAGAACGTTATGCTAAGAAAGATTCAGTCTCACGATATTAAGAGCTCCGCTAGGGCTTTAAAGAATGATAAAATTTCCTTTACGGTGCTGACACAGGACAGACAGAAAAAAGCCGTAAAAAGACTATCTCCTAGTGGTTCGAAATGTACCTTTTTATAAACTCTTCTCTGATTTTACTTACCTTCAGATATTTTCTCTCAATTTTTGTGGGGGCGAGAATTCAGTTTCCGCGTATAAAAATTGACAGATGGTGCAATTGCCTGAATGACAGAAATTGTCAATAGCATTAATTCTTCAGACGATGAACAGAATTTTGATTCAAACCCAATATTTTCATAGCAAGTAAATGAATAAAAAATAATTACTTTCTCCTATTACTAAAATGTATTACTGTATCAATCTGGCATAACGCACAAAGAATGTTGAAACATGCGAAAATTTAAATGATAACAAGAATACAGACATTTTAAAGTATGTGTACTCTAATCCAAACAGCTACAAAATATATTGAGATGTTAAACAGTCTTCACACACAAACAACGAAAATTCCAACTCACGGAATTTTACGAAACACTAAACACTCGTAGTAATGAATATATTTGAAGAACCTAAAGTAATCATCTCGTACGTTACCTTCAAACTATTCCTCGAGTACTGAATACCAGGTGAACTCACTGTTCATTTCAAAAACATAATTTTTAAATTTTTGAAATTTATATCTTAAAAATAGTTTCTGTGAATGAGACATTCCTTTCTAGAAATTCAATTTTAGTCAACACATTCCCTCTACCTCTGCAACAAATTCGTATGATGAAAATCAATTGTAATTAAATGTGAGTCGCCTTTCAAAATGCTCGCAAAACGCTCCTATGCATATTTATGCGATATTTTTTTTAACTTTAAGCTGAATAGGTTACACATAGTGTATTCGACGATCTGATCTCTTTTTCAGATGTGTTGGGTCGTAATCACATGTCTCTCGCAGAAAGAGATATATATGCCCAACCACCCTAAAGGAGAATTGGAAAAGGAGGCAGAATCCCATTCCATAGAGATTTATTGCCGTTGAACTTCACCGCTTCACAAACAAGTGAGAGAGAGAGCTCAATGTGTAAAACCCGTAATTACTAAATCGTAATCTTATCCATGACATGATATATGCCTGGGTGAAGAGAAATACAAAAGATCATTTAATGAAATTAATGGCAAAAAACAAAGGACAAAAGATGATAACAAAATAGTGGCGAATGTGTAATAAATGAGACCATTAAAACTTTCTGTCAAAGGAATGAAAAATGCAAGGATATATAGTCAATGAACGTGAAACATTTCATTACTTCTTCCGTGACTTTGAATGCATCATCTGAAGGCGTTTGAGCATATGAAAACATTCTCTTTATAAAATTATTCTTGTCTATGAATGTACTCGTGAAACTCAAAAAAACAGGACATCCAAAGTCGATCGTAATGACAAAAAGTAATGAAAAACATAGTTATCATGCGTTAAGTAATGACATATTAAGGGAACAAATTATACACACCTGCTGGTGATTGACTGAAATCGAATGAAACCAATTTATGAAGTCAAACCGAAATCAGTTCTGATATATCCCATAACCGAAAATATGGCAGCATGTAGTGAGTCACTTCAGAAGTCATGCCTGCTATTTTATATATTCCAAATTACCGCATATGCTGTTATTGCACTGTACATTTCAAAACATGGTGTAAACATTATGGTGTACAAATTACCACCAGAGAATGTCTGAGTGTAATTGGTATCACATTGCACATGCAAACGTCAGTATCCTAGACACTGTGTTTCGATGAGTTGAACACTAGAGCGAATACGCAGTGAGGACATTGAGCACAAAGCTCAAACAGGTTTAGAGTTACATTTGTAAAATAATGTAGACTGAATTGCTTTTAACCAATATAAGATTCAGTAATATCGCGACTGTAATATTTATGTATGTATTGGAATTTTATATATTTAGCTAATATATTTGAGTGATAGCAAGGTTTATGGCAAGCATATCAGATTATCGGATCATAAAGTTTCCATGAACTATATTAAAGAGTTGTTAAAGTAAGTCTAACTTTAGTTTAAGTGACGGAATTCTTCAGTTTGATTAATTATTTTATTCAAATTTCGAAAAAAAAATGGTTTGGATAGATTTCATTTTGGAAATGGATGACAACAAACGTTTATTACTGCTCTATTGGGTCAGTAATTGAATTTGTAATTCCATCAGACCTTGTGCTTATATTTTCTACGCAACATCATTCCAAAAGATACTAAACAAACATTCATTGTTTGCGCGTGTAGCTCTGACATCGAATTCACAACCATTTTCAAATTCAAGTCGGTCGACGCGAGCGTCGAGCCTACTACAACAAACAAGTGACCGATGCTTGGAGAGCGCTGGTATTTCACCGGGGTAAATTGCAGAAGGGCCGTTTGGACAACGCGATTACGGAGGACTTGATGGCAACGCGCGCCCCCGACAGGACACGGCTGGCAAGCGCCAGCGCGGCGCGCGCACCT